GACTATTGTTTCATTCATGTCAGCTGTCCATTGTATCCTCCGTCGTGGCAGGCCTGCTTGAGTGGTCCATCTCTGCTTTTTCCTCGGACTCGGCCATCTCTGCTTTTTCCTCGGACTACGATGAAAGACTTTGAAAGGGCTTCGTGTAGTCTGCTGCTGTTGTAGTCAACCGTAGGCTCTCTCCTGCACCCACTGGCACCACTTTATTCCGGTCGTTGCCCTTCTTTTCAAGAATTTCGTGGGGGACCAAGAACTTCTCCTTGATCTTCAACCTTCTCACGTCCCTAAATATCTTGACGAAGCGTGTAGAGAGGAAAGAGGTCTGTTACGCAACCCAAACGGAGTGTAATTAAATTCTAGTCACAAGAAATGCTGTGTACTTCTTGAATGTTTCAGCCACCTGTACACGAAAAAAAGGGTTCTTAAGATCTAGCACTGAGAATACTAGATCGTTCATCAGGGCATCGATACTGTCAACGAGGGGATTGGGGAACCTGTCTCTGACCACCTTTCTGTTAAGCACCCCATAACACACACTCTAGACGATCCATCCTTCACAATTACCACTGGGCTGGCGTAATTGCTGCTGCTGGGCCTCACACTCTTGGATTTGGTTGTCCAGGATTCCCGTCTCCTTAGGCGGTGAGGCTGGATATTCACAGGAATCTCATCCCGCAAAGCAATCTGAGTTTCTTCACATCTGCCCTGGGTGAATAACTAGCCACAAGAGAAGCCACCTCCTAACTTTATGGGCCAGCACACTGCAGCTCGTTCACCAGGAAACAGCTGAATGAAGGCAACTCCTCCAAATAACTGGTTGGCGAATCAACCACGTCTTCCTCAGTTGTCTCCTCCTGTATATGCGTAAGGCGTTCAACTCTTCTCCGGATCATTGTCACCTCTAGTCCCCTTAGGAAGTCATCGCCCAAAATGAAATCTGAAGACACAACTTCCGATGGTACCTCAAACACTTCCACCTTGTAGTTGTGTTTTCCTATCTTCATTTTTAAGATCGCAGACTTCAAAGGCAGGATTTCGGCATTTCCAAACCCGGTTCTACTCCCGGTTCTTCTTTCTTCAACTTTTCTCTTCCCTCATAATTTCTCTTTAACTCATCTTTTATCCGGTCGTAAACTTCGAATTTTCGAGGGGTTTTAGGTTGAGGATTATCTTTTTGACTGTGGGATTTTGAAGTAGGGAGAGGTATTTTATATCTTGGGTTGTTGATTGGGTAGTTTGTTGTTGGGTTGTGGGTTGTTGGGTTTGGGTTAGGTTGGTGGTAGATGCGTAAAATTGGTGGGGAACGTTTTGAAGTGAGTTGTTAAGACTTAATGATTTGGTCATCTGTGCTTGTTGTTGTTTTGTGGCTTTCACTGTTAAGAGACATTGTGGGTCGTAGGCAGTGTGGTTTAGGGAGCAGTTGATGCATTTTGGGGTGAATGGTTTGTCAGATGTATGGGAGGGACAGTCTTCGGTTGGGTGGGAACCAGAGCAGAGGGCGCAAATCGCTTGTCTCCTGCAATAGGCCTTCGTATGGTACAGACTTTGGCAATTTCTGCACTTGTGTATTCTATCTGTCATCATGTAGTCTCCAATGGTCACTCTAAAGTAGTCAATGTATCTTAGCGCTTTATTTTTATTGTTATCCGTCATTTCTTTTTTGTTTGTCTCTACTGCTTACATACCTACTGGTTTCAATGTCGCGTCCATTCTCGTCATTGCATCTCAGTTATGTGGTGTGAAGTAATTTTAAGGGCGGTCAAGTTGTCTTTGATGGCAGTAAAGTCTTATTTGGCCGGGAGTTTGATTACAAATTTGTCTCTTTGTTTGTCTGTGGTTTGGTTGAAGTGGCATGAAATGGAGGTGAAGAAATGTCCTTTTAGTCTGAGGTCCCTAGAGATCTGTTCCAGCGGTCCCTTATCTTTCCGTGGGCAGTCACAGTCACTGGTTGAAATACCACTTCTGTCCGAGTGCATTTGGCTGTCAGGTGGTTATTACAGTTCGTCTTCAATTCCTTGGTCAGTTCTGTTGGGTCAAGGATTGTCGACAAGTTAATTCTGAAGAGTCCGATTCGTCCTTTGTTGGTTGGTCTTGAGGTCGTCGTTTGTTGGGAGGATGATTGGTCAGATAATAGTTCGTTATTTGTGTCTACGTCTTCAGGGGTTCTGGAGTCAGATTGCTGGGGGTCCAATTGGGAAACAGGGTTGAAGTGATTAAGGGATTCAACCGGTTTGCTTTGGTGTGGAGGTTGGGGCTTGGCTCCTTTTGTTACCAATCGGAAGCCGTCATCCGTCAGGAACATTTTGGTTGGTTGGTCGGGCGAGGAGTCGGGGGAGGAGTCAAGAGAGCGTCGGAGGTTGCGGTGCGCTTCTTTGTATACCTCATCGCTGGCGTTGGAAGTTCCCGCAGGTGGTGCATTGACCATCTCGTCGTCCGACATCTCCAGATCCGAGGGAGGCAGCGGCGGAGCTTCTGGAGCGCCTCCTCCAGAAGTAGTTGGTTCTGCTCCCGGAAGCGGCGGTTGCTCTCCACAAGGTTTCTTCGAAATAGTCTCCTTGGGGTGTTCGCAAGTGAAAAGCGCTTCTGGTCGATAGTTGACGCGGTTTCAGAAAAGTTATTTAAACTGAAGTAAATACTAAGATAGTTTGCGGTATGCTGCTGGCTCAATATGCGTGGCAATAAGGAGATCGTGATCTTCACTGCACGGGTGCTGCTCGCTCAATGCATTCCGCAGCATTACATAACTTCCCCCCTATACTACTTATATTACTCCATATATACGTGCATTGCGGGAAAGTAAAAATAAAATGTACCTCACCTCATGCAAGGTGGACCTCCTTATGGCTCCCCATATACTGCACTGTCGAACCAGTGTGTAAATGTTATTTCGTAAGCAATACAAAAAATCAAATTGAAGTTCGTTTACAGATGCACGTAAGTTTTCTATAACTCGGGAGAGAAAATGTCTAGTTTTCACTGTTGGTGACCTCGTTTTTAGAAGTCAACTACAGTAAACTCTCATTAACGCGAATTGCAAAGGACCGAAAAAATCGGAGTTCGTGTTATAAAAATTCGTGTTATCCGATTATTGCAATTGACCTTATTAGTGTAATCCCTTGGCGGGACGCAAGGTTTGTTACGCCGAAATTCGTGCTAAGCGAGTTTGTGCTAACGAGGGATTACTGTATTTGTAATAAATATGTTGGGAAGAAAATTTGAAGCTGTAGCAAACATGCCCAGATAATACTTCTCCTTTGTACGTCACATGCAGTTTTTTTTTAACTAAATAAATCGAATTAATTCAAACAATTCAATTTTACAAACGATGTTTTTTTATTTTAATTAAGCTGCGCATTGTTACAAATGTGTGCATGAAACATTCATGCCCTCGTAAATTAATTTCAAAATATGGCAATTCGGTACCGTTTTTCACGAAAAAAGTTTGTGCGACTATCAAGTTTACAACACTAACGTTATTGTTACCTTATCTACTTTAATTATAGTATTACTATAGTAATTCTTTGCCTATCACTGTAGTAATGATATTTCAAATAAAATAACTTAAAAACAATGAATTAGCATAATTAGTATCAGCACACTGTATCTTTCAAAATTTATGACAATGCTTTTTGTACGAGTGACCCGCATATATAAAAGGCGATCGCAGCGGCAGAATAAGACAACCGAACCGTATTTTGACTAATCTAGATTGTTAGATTTAATAGAATCCCTCTGGTGACAGTCAAACACATGCTGCATTCGCGGGGAGAACGGAGGGTAGCAAAGCAAGGCAATTTTGGTTGTCAGTAGTTCCACGATATCTTGATCTTAGTTACTTGTTACTTCATAACGATCGAGAGTGCAGCAGAACGGCGCAATTACGAAGCGGCGCTGCGACTTAAATTGTGTTGAACGGTCCGTATTTTGTACCGAGAAAATAACAGTGAACAACTGGTGATTCACTCTCATATTTCTTCGCAGAAATTTTGGTTGAAACATTGTCATGTCGTTATTCGCTACAGCATCGCGCAAATTGCCAAGTACTTTACTGCGCATAAGATCTGGTAGCACTCCAGCTGTATTTTACCATGAAAAGGTGAAAAAATAGTTGCTTGTGCGACGTACTTTTCCTAGGTTGAATACGTATTGATTATTATTTGTGTTGTAGGTTCTAGATCATTACGAAAATCCTCGCAATGTGGGGTCACTTGACAAGAATGATCGTCGAGTGGGAACAGGATTAGTTGGTGCCCCAGCTTGTGGTGATGTAATGAAATTACAAATAAAGGTGGATGACGATGGTAAAATTATTGATGCCAAATTCAAGACCTTCGGCTGTGGCTCAGCTATTGCATCTAGCTCTTTGGCAACTGAGTGGGTGAAAGGAAAGACGGTAAGTCTATCAATATGTATTTTAATTATTAATATTTCTGATGTGAAGTAGAAAAGGTAATGTACTTAATGGAAGACATCCTGTTTTGATTTCTGACAGGTTGATGAAGCTCTGAAATTGAAGAATACTGATATTGCTAAGGAATTGTCACTTCCACCTGTGAAACTTCATTGCTCTAGTAAGTTTTTTTCTTTTGAAAAATGTAGTGTAGTGTTAGATTGTTTAGAGTGCATCGATGTGAGTTTGCACTTTCAATTCTACTTTGCTGAAAAATCTTCACCAGAGCAGTATAGGTTGTTCTTGCACTAGTTCAATAGGGTGTTTTCTTGTTGTAAGGGTCAATAAAAAAAAAAGCAATCCATGATAAAATTTCATTTCAGACCCCTGACCCCGCCCCCCTAAACCCTCTTAAAAGCAACTAAGATAATTTGACTGATTGTGTATGAATATATTAATAAAATTATAATTGAAACCAACCCGACCTCGGATGGCCATTTGCTTTTCCTCATTCTTTTTTTAGACTGATTTTGTAGTACTCTCACTTCCCTCACTTAAAAAAAATTTAATTTTCTTGCATCTTTTTACAAAAAAGTTAATTTGTTTACATAGTCAGGCAAGTATAATAATTCTTTCTAAAATTAAAGTATAAATGTTGGGAAAAGTCATCACAGCTGGAAATCTAAGTCTGGGAAAGTGTTACATTAAGAGAGAAGATAGGACAAGTAAATGGACTTACAATTACACCGGAAGGTAAAATTTTGTTGAACTCTCCTTTTACTTGTAATGGTAAGAGTAGAGGTAAGGACGAGTTGCTATTTGTTAGCAATGCAGGAAAATCATACTTGCAATTCATGTACCAATGCAAATAAGTTTTCTATAACTCAGAAACGAATATGACTTTTTCAAATATTGCTAATCTTGCCATTTTAAAATTTTTTATTTATGTTAAACTTTTACTAATTTTTAAACTTTTTTTAGTTAAAATGACAGGAAAGGATTCTGGAACTCAACAAAACGTGCACAGATAATCTTTTACCCCCTACGTGGTGTACGTTTTTTACTGATTTTTGACTGAATAAATCTAAATCTAAAGGGGAGGTGAGGAGTGAAGAAGGGCAAGTAGCTCAGGCACACAGGGGATTTTACAGGAGTATTATACACCTGTTACTAATTGATATTGCATTAATATGTAACAATATGGTCACAGTAAAAGATATTATCAGCTCAAGGTCATGAAAGTGTTCAACAACGTATTATGTCTCTGTGATTATTTAGATGAATTCATTTGCATTTCCTTTTAGTTATCAATAGACTGGAAGTTCAGGAATTATTTTATCCAAAAGCAGTAAGGCATAAAGGCATTAATTTTTACTTAAAAAAAGGCATTTGTTCTAGCTCAAGTAGAAGTGCAAAAAGGAGTATAAACAATGAAAAAATACATTCAAAAGAAATTATTTGTAATAATAATTAAAATGATTCACATTTTATTTCTAACTCTAAAATATTCATCAGCTCTTAACATGCAAGGAAATGATATTTCCCGTGTAATCTTGATACTACATGACCATTCGATATTATGGCTACAAATAGGTTTTATTTGCAATGCTGTCTTTTTGAAATTATTATGTAGATTCCGTTTTTAATCTTGAAATGGCATCAGTGGAAACCCAAATTATGAATTTCATTCTTCGCATTTGTGTATTCACTTGAAGGGAATGTGATACAGTCCTCAAAAGGGATTCAAGGCCATGCTCAAAAGTAGGATGGTATTCATTGTGAGCGTACTCATCGTACTCATCGGTATGAATGCAAAATCAAAAATTATTTTTAACTCAACCTCTGCTTCCACAGAAAGGCAAAACACGACTGTGCCGTTGTTGTTCGGGCTTGTAGGTATACTGTATCCAAATTGAGATTGGTGCCTTGGGGGGAAAAAAGCAAAATATTGAGGAAAATGGTGAAAATAAGCATCAGAAGCTTGAAAAGGAAAATCTACTAAAACAACTCCAGACACACAATTAATGATTCCCATTGTCGAAAGTCATGAAATGGTAACTATAACAAAAACACATTTTGCCAAACTTCTGGGCTCTATTTATCAGCAAACCATGTTAGGATCACTTAATTGGTGATTTTGGGGTTTCTTCTCTACAATATTATCTACATTGTGTTGCCTGGTACTTAACTATTTATTACAATTGAGACATCAAGTACAACTGCCCATTCTCCACTGCATTGAACACTGAGGATACTTCCACTGAACATTATCTTACTATACTCAGAATGTGCTCATAATAGGGGGGGAAAGTTAATTGTTTGCATGATTGTGGAGCAAAGTAGCTTGTTATTTGCTCTCCTGAAGAATTTTGTATTATTTGTGCTCATGCAAGATACATTTAAATTTTAGAAATGTATATATGGATTAAAAGGCTAGCTTAAAAGAGCATATTATTGAAAATGTAATATTATGATGTTAAATTATTATGCAACTATTGTGAGGAAGTCTGGTAGAAATTTGTTTATTATGAAATATCTTGTAGGTCATGGTTAACCTGTTCATTTGAATATTCATGTATAGTTTGATATCAATTATAAATTAAGTATTACAAAAACAGGTCAGTATTTTTACCTTTATTTAACACAAAACTAGCAAGAGTGAGAATATTCATTTTTAATAAACTTCCTTTTTTATTTTTGCCACAGTTGTGAGAATCCCCCTCTTGCAACTGAAAGAGAATGTATTTTGTGAATGACCCTGAATGTTTTTTTGTTTATTTGTTTTTGCATTGGTATGAACATACATGAAATGGTTTGAGAAATTTATTAAAAGTTATAAATATGAAAAAGGTTTTAAAATAAAAATATAGGTTTGGAACTTCAAAAAGTATTCATGACATTTTCTAAGAAACTTAAAGGTGATATAAATAATTTTGAAAAAATGGTGTCTGATAATTTACCTTCAGAAATGAAAAATACAGCAATTTCTGTTCCATTGAGTAATACAATAAATGTATAAGAGACAGCGTAAATGGGTTCCTAATGTATGATAGGCCATATGAAGAAGATTGTTGAATTCCCACACTTGTCCTAAACTGAAGTTACTTTTATTCTGCATTATTTATGGTTACATATGGCAGGTGCACGTGTAAAAGGGGATAAGTCAAGCTTTTGTCCAAAACAAGTATGCTAGGATATTGCTTCATTACAGTACTATACTACTTTAGAGTGACATTTGAATTTTGGCATTAAATGTTAATGACAAAATTGAAATGTCACTTATGCCCCTACTCACGATGATAGTATTGTAGTAAAGCAATGTCGTTGGCATACTCATTTTAGACAAAAAGTTGACTTATCCCCATTTACTTGCACACTTGCCATTTATGAATGAATTTAAATACATAAATATACATTTAGGTGTGTGTGAATGTGTGTCATAAAAATTTTACTTTACTCTTCAATTAGAAAGTTGTTGGGTAGTGACAATAAGTGCATGATGACATTTTTGTTCTAGTGCTTGCAGAAGATGCCATTAAAGCAGCATTATCAGATTACAAAATTAAGCAGGAGTCCATTAATGAAGAAAAGGCTAAATCTACATAATCATAAAATCTTACATTTGAATTTTAGAAGACTGCAGATTTACTTCAAAACTATATTTTAGAGTAAACTTGATCCCATCTCCCAGATTTGAGATTAAATAGAAAATCAGAAGCTTGTTTTATTTTCTATTCTTAAATTTGCTTTTGAAGAAAACAATTTTTTCTGAAAAACTTTGTCAGATTAGTTCAAATTTATATATTTTTTAAAAAGAGTAATAGTGGGATTAAAGATCATCAGCAAATATTGCATATCAGTATCGTTAAATATTGTTGCTTGAAATTTATTGTGAGGAAAATAAAGTTATTAGTTTATTTTGTTGCAGAATTCTCCCAATGTGTTCTCATTCTGTTTCACTCATTGGTAGAGTTGGCCCCTCTATGAATAGTAATGTAAATATTTGTTTCTTAATTAAGTGAATCACAATGTTTTAAATTATGAGCAGGATTGGAAGACTAGGCTATTTTTAAGTGGTCTCATAGAAGCTTAGGGGCACTTAAGATATAAAGCTGGCCCTAATTGCAAGAGTAGAAATCTCTTGATTTGAAAATGAATAGTTCCCAGTGTTATTTTCTTCTTTGTAAATAAATTCTATGGGAATATTAGTAGTTTCCAGTGTTATTTTCATTGTAAATAAATTACATTTGAAATGCTTCCTTGTGCATTTTTTCTATAAAATTGCTATGGATTTATTTTTCTCCTAAACTATAAATAGGTGATCTTGCTGGTTTGATGCTGCACTATCATGGTTTGTATTTTTTTCTCGTATTAGTCCTCGTATATATTGAGGCTCTAGCATTGCAGATATGGATTGTGTGGAATTGTCAGGTGCGAGTATTCCAAAGTGTCCGTAATCCTGAAACGTGTAATGAAGATTAAATCTGCTTGCATGAAAACGGGTACCAGGGGAAGACGTTAAGTGATATAGAGGATCGGGAGAAATTCAGTTTCAAATATTGGAAATATATGCTGAAGTCAGGGCCTCATCACCAGCGGCGAAATTTCATTTCAAATCCAGGGCCGAATAGACGAATTTTGGGAGGGGAAATTCAAACCGTTTTAGTCGGTGTCGATATAAATTTTATAAAATGTAGGCTACAATATTTCGTGCTGCAATACGCTTTTATTAGTTCTACTGATTATCCTAAAATATTTTTGCTTCTAAATTTCATGACAAGTTAAAATTAATATAGACTGAAAAATTTTAGGGAGGGAAATTGCTCTCCCCGTGGATTCGCGCCTTCATGTTGAACTTCATGTCTGCCGTTAGGGTGACAAAGCGCGGACATTCTAATGTTGCACTTCACTTACGGAGAAGATAAATGCATACTTTAAATTTGAGCTTCTGGTATATTAAGACAAAAGATTTTTGTTTGTGTGTGGGGGATTTTTCCGAAACGGATGTTCCAAGGAAGATAAATTTAAGTAATAAAGGGTATACTTGGTTTTTTTGCTTCATCATATTCGTTAGCTGATCGCCGGCGTCCTTAGCTAAATTATCTAACTACGCTCCATCAAGTCACGAAAATAAGCAACTCGAGACATCCCGGGTTTTTGGATGGATGACCGACTGGGAACTTCGATTACTGACGGCGCCGAGCCCTTGGCAGAAGTGATAAAAGGCGTAACTGCGGCTTGAAACAAATAACAAAAGCAACGGGGAATTGCACCAAATACGCTCAACCTTATTTAGGACCGTATTTCAAACTCTATAAGGAACAATTTCATTAAGGGAAAATATAAATAAAAGTTGCTTTCGTGGCTTAATGGCGAGGCTTGCCTTTCACCACAAGTTCCGGGTTCGATTCTCGTAGAATCCCCATAGAAATTTGTTACAACAGAACGGGTTTGCATGCTCCATACGGGCTAGTCCAACTCCTGTGATGCGTCCTAAACTTACTCATATCCTTATTCCTTCCCAATTCTAACCGCTGGGTAGTGGCGGAGGGCAGAAAATCCACAGTTGCTATGTCATTCTTGTGGTAGACGGCCCGCTAAAACTTAAATGCTTGGTGGATGCTCGCTAACAATTATATCCCTCCGTCAATATCCTGCTTAAACGAGATATCACTTTCAAATATATAGTGCGGATAAAGTAAACTGAGAGTGACAGGCAGAGAAAGTGAGGCATATTACGGACCCGGGTCGGCGGTAGACTTCCAAGGTGCCTGGGTCGATAAGGAGGCTGGCATCCAACTGCTTCGATATCCACTTACGAGGATTACCAAGCATCGCACTTGATCTATGTATTACCACTACTGTTAATTTTATAATACGACAACTTCTGTCTTACACATCAACTACCATTTCAAAAATGCTTAAACAAACGAAACGTGATTATATATTGTAACGAATATTGCATCACCTGCCAGATTCGCTGCGCACGGATTGCGTCATCTGCCGGCGCCCCTTCCCTCCCCCCGAACTGGAGGGTTCCGGACTATTCGCGGGGAAAGGTAGAGAATGTGCCGGGTGTATCGAGACGAGCTCCGACCAGGTATAAATGCGCCGCTGTCGGCGGCCGCAAGACAGTAGCAGTCAAGTAGTACGAAGTAGCAGTCAAGTTAGTCTGTGTAAGTTAGTGTAAGTCGGTGTGTGTATGTCAGTGAATAAGTAGGCAGTCCATCAGTGTGTCTGAAGTGGAAGCTGTGCTGTAAAGTGTACATTGCGGTGAACAGTGGGGAAATAGCAGTCAGCAGTTTGAAGTCTGCAGTGGAAGCTGAGCTGTGAAGTGTGCATCGTGGTAAACAGCAGTGCAGTGGACCCTGGTCTGCGCAGGGAAATGTGGTCTGCGCAGGGAATTGTGGTCAGCGCAGTGGACCGTACACAGTGCAGCGGGCTGTGTGGTACTGTAGAAGAAGTGATCAGTGTAAATAAATAATCAGATTGCAGAGAACCGTGTAAATAAATAGCGTAGAAGAAGTGAACTCTGTAAATAAATAATCAAGAGAACGGAGTCGTGTGTAAGAAAAATCATTAAGTGAAGAACAAAGGACTGTGAATATACTGTAAATAGTGTTAGATTTCAGAGTAAAATTCTTTACAAATAAACGTTTTGTGTAAATACCTGTTAGTGTGTTTTAATTCACCACGTTGCATTGAGAAACGTACAGTTAACATATATAAATAATAATATATATATATATAATATAGTTATTTATATATAATATAATAAATTATTAGTTTATATAACGCGAATCAACGCGCGCGTCATATCGGCTTCTGTTATCAGTGCGGCGTTACAACAAGAATGGGATTTTTTTTAAATTTTATTTTTGGTAGACATTCATTGTTCAGTTTACATATTAAATGTGCAAATGTTTGATGGTCGTTAACTATCTATACTAACTTACAATAACTAAAAATTATATACATTACAATTATATAAAAATATACTGGGAGAGGAAGCAGAAGCACCTCAGTTAGTATTATTTCCAAGTTTTGCGAATATTTTATAAATGAATGGAGGGATACCTGTTGTTAATTCTCGTTTGAAAATTGGGGGCTTGCGTAGTTTATAGAAGATGTTGCTTGACTTAGGGAAGGTTAGTGTAAAAGTGTGTTCGAGATAGGCTATTTGGTTTTTTATTGTGTTATATTAAATCATTGTGTAATTGATTGTTGCTGATGTACCATGGTGCTTTTGTAATTAATCTTAAAATTTATTTGGATAACTTGTATTTTGTTTAGGTTGGAATTAGCAGCATTGGTCCAGAGGGACAAGCATAGAGTAATGTCGGCCGTATTATTGTTTTGTAGAGTAATAGAAACATTGGATTTGGAGAGTTGACAGTGTTGATTCAATAAGGGCCGAAGTTAAATTAGTTTAGTTTTGGCTTGCTGAGTTTTTACCACTATATGTTACTTCAGTTGAGTCGGGTATCGAAGTTTAAGCCAAGTATTTTATTGTTTTATATAGTTGGTGTCTATTGATGATGTCGTTATTTATGAGAATGGAAGAGGGTGTATAAAGGTTTTAATGTGAATATTTTGTACAGATTTTGTTGGGTACAACTTTATTTTCCCCGCCCAATTTGCTAGTAAATTTAGGTGATTCTGAAGCTGTGTTGAAGAGTTGTTCAAGAGTTCTGAGATAAACAGTGCAGTGTCATCGCAAATTGAGTAGTGTTTATATGTGCTGAAGTAGGAATATTGCTTGTGTATAAATTGAACAACGTGGGGAAAGTGGTGAACTTGGGAACCCAAGCAGAAATTTTCCTTGGGTTGGAACAGTGGCTTCGATTGAAACTGAAAAATGTTCTAAATTGTTATATACGCTAAAGGATAACAAATACTTGATATTAAGTAATATTGAAATTAATTTAAAATAGAGAGCGGATGCATAGTTGTCTGTCGAATGCTTGCGAATGTTACGAATGCAAGAGATGGTATTGTTCCTTTTGAAATGCAGAGTGAAGTGTTCTGTAAGCCTAGTAGTTGAAGGGTGGTAGAGTATTGACTTGAAGCACAAACTGGTGCTGGGTAAACTGTTTGTTTCTGAATGTTTGTGTCAATCGATGATATTAATTCTTATGATTTTTGTCATTACAGTGAGCAAGCTGATAGGTATTGTAATTCTCGCTTTTGAAGTAATTGCTGCTTGGTTTTGCTATTGGGTGAATGACTGTTTCCATGTTTGAGGAAAATATCCTGTTCTCAATACAGATTAGTAAATGTTATTTAGAAAAGCAATGGCTTTCTCCGGTAGATTTTTTAAAATGATTGTGTTGATCCGATCGTGGCCTGCTTTTTTATTTGGCATATCCTTTATTATTTTTCTTTTTTCATTAGGGGATATGAATTGAATTTGGTGGGGAACATCATATGGGGAGCATTGAACATTGTCATTATTTCGTCGTGTTTAGGATCTTTGGGGGTGTTTTTGGGGGGTGAAAGTGTCAACAAAGTGTGAGGCCAGTACTTCAGTTTTTTCCATCGGGGAGTATTTTTTACCATCGCTAGTTGCTAATGGGGGAATGCTTGTTCCTTTTTTAAGAGTTTCTTAGTGAACTGCCTTAGAGAGTTGTTTTTAGTATTTAAGCTATTGATATAGGAATTGTATTGTTCTTATTTATATCTGTTTAGAACCTTTTTACAAATATTATTTTGCAGATTTAGTTTTTTTTTAAAGAAGGAGTTCTTAGGGAATTCCAATGTCTTCTTGTTTTATTTTTTATTCGGATTAAGTTAATTATAATATACTGTGGTATACCACATCACCAGATTACTCTACCACACACGCCCGGACTCGAAACAGCAGCAATAAATGTAAAGTATAATAACAGGACAATAACAATAGTAACTGCTTACAAACCTCCAAATAAAAAAAAACAATAATAGCAACATATACACATTATTCACACTACCAAACCCATTCATTATTGCAGGTGATCTAAACTCTAACCTATTTGTTTTATTTCTAACACATCCTCGATTTTGTGAGTTCCATCAAAGACTGCTGCCACTACTGGGATGGGGGACAGTCGTGTTTTTATACAGTCGTGTAACTTTTGTAGCAGAATTGAAATTGTTATTGATTTCGGCTAATATTTAATTTTCTGATTGAATGATGAATATTCTTGATCACTATTGAGTATTTTTTACTAATTTTATCGGAATACGTGTGAAATTGTTTTTTGGTGGCCAGGAAATATTTAACAGCTCTTCGGAAGCCGGTCACTGGAATTGGATTCGAATCTTTTGATTTTTGAATTCTGTAGTGAAGTTGGATGAGACGTTAAATTTTATAT